TGTGTGTGTGTGTGTGTGTGTGTGTGTGTGTGTGTGTGTGTGTGTGTTTGTACAGGCATGCTTGCTAGTTATGTGTAAACTATGTGGAAGCTACAAGTTGACATCGATAACTTCTATCAGTCTCTACTTTGCTTTTTTGTTTGTTTTTGTTTTTTTTTTTTTTTTTTTTTTTTTTGAGACAGGGTTTCTCTGTGTAGCACTGGCTATCCTGGAATTCACTCTGTAGACCAGGCTGGACTCGAACTCAAAAGTCCACCTGCCTCTGCCTCCCAAGTGCTGAGATTAAAGGTGTGTGCCACCACTGCCCTGCCTACTTTGTTTTTTTAAGACAGGGTCTTTCCTAAATCTGGAGCACCTCTACTTCAGCCGCACTTGGTCAGCAAGCCCAGGAATCCTTTTGTTTCCCCAGCGCTAGAATTATTGATAAATACCATTAGCTCTTATTCAAGTACTATTGTAGCTCCTCCAAACTCAGGTCCTCATGCCTGTGAAGCAAGCACTTTTACCCACTGAGCATCTCCCCATCCTGGAAAAGGTCACATTTGACCAAAGGCTTGAAGCCTTAAGGTAACAAAGATGGTTAGTTAAAGGGCTGTGGGGGAAAAATTATTCCAGGTAGAGGAAACAAGTGGGCAGAGACTTTTAAGGCAGAGTCTGCCCGGCAGTGCCTTTGCTGGAAGATCACAAGTTTAAGACCTGCCCGGGGCCACATAACATCTTGCTTCAAAAACGGGGAATGGGGGTGGGGGAAGGCCCTGGAGAGATGCCTCTGTGGTTAAGAGCGCTGACTGCTCTTCCAGAGGTCCTGAGTTCAATTCCCAGCAACCACATGGTGGCTCACAACCATCTTAATGGGATCTGATGCCCTCTTCTGGTGTGTCTGAAGACAGCTACAGTGTACTCATATATAAAATAAATGAATAAATCTTTAAAAAAAGGGGGGGGAAGGAGTGGGATGGGTAGGAAAGGGTAGAAAAGATCAGTTGGTAGGGTGCATGCCTTGTATAGCTTCAAGCCCTGGCTTTAATCCTCAGCATTTCATTAAACCAGATGTGGTGGTGCATATCTGCAACTTCAGACTCGGGAGGTGGAGGGAAGAAGATCAGATGCTCAAGGTTATCTTTGGCTACATGGAGAGTTTGAGGACAGCCTGAGCTACATGAAACCCTGTCTCAAAAACAACAATGTATGTGATAGAAGCACAGGGAGCAAGGGCCACATAGCCCTTCTCCTGACCATCTTTCTCACCTACTTCAAGCCTTTGGTCAAATGTGACCTTCTCCCAGACGGGGAGATGCTCAGTGGGTAAGGTGTTAGTTACACAGGCATGAGGACCCGAGTTTGGAGGAGCTGCAGTAGTACTCACAGAAGAGAACCAACGGATGGGTGTAAGGTCTTTTGTGGGGCTGGAGAGCTGGCTCAGAGACTCAGAGCACTTGCTGCTTTTGCCATTCCCAATACTGTGAACACCCACATAGCTGCTCAAAACGGTCTGTTTCCCAGGGCTCTGATGCTTTCTTTTGGCCTCAGGGATGCATATGCACATACATACTCAGGCAAACAATCATACAAATACAACAAAATAAACAAAAATTTAGAAAGCCATTCATAGAATTCTTTGTAAATGGCTACTTGGGCTGGTTCTCAGTTAGGAGAAGCCTGGTGAGTTCTCTGGCAAAGCAGCAAGTGCTCTTGACTGCTGAGCTATCTCTTCAGCTGCAGTTTTGATACCGTAAGTTCTGATTTAGTTTTGCTGTTTTGATATAAGATGTATATGTCTTTGTTTATTTGCAACAGGATCTCACTCACTCTCTAGCCCAGGCTCATCTGGAATTCACTATGTAGCCTGGGCTGGCCTCACATTAGCAGCAATCCTCCTGTGTCAGCCTCTAAGTGCTGAGAGTACTGTCATGGGCCACCACATCTGACTTGAATCAAGTTTATGGAAACTTGACATGATTAACCTTGTTGACAATTTATTGTTCCAAAGCCTTATTGAATTTGCAAGGCTGAAACAACCTCTTAGGTCAATAAGAATGGCAGGAACTGTTTATCTTAAAGATCTGCAGGATAAGACATACAGATGACACAGGTATTCACATCCATTCATTTGTTAATTTAGTGATTAGTTATGGCCTGCCACGTGTCAAGTCTCAGCTCTTTGCTTGGAGATTAGTGAACTAGTCCCTGCTGTGAGGGAGACAGACACAGAGCAAACAGTCATAAGTGAGAATGAACAAAGCATTTGGATGTAGCTGGTTGTGCTGTACAGGCATTTAATGCTATCATTAGGGAGGCAAAAATCAGGTGGATCTCTGTGAGTTTGAGGCCAGCTTGGTCTACATAGCCAGCTTCAGGACAGCTAAGGAATATGTAGCAAGCTTGTCTTAAAAAAACAAAAAACAAAAAACAAAGTGTTGGGGGGAGTATTTTGGTGGGGCTAAAAAGAAGACTTAGTGGTTAGGAGCACTTTTCCAGAGGATAGGGGTTCGATTCCCAGCACCCACATGGTGGCTCACAACTGGCCATCTGACTCCAGTTCCAGGGGATCCAATGCTCACTTCTGGCCTCTGAGGGCACTAGGCACCCATGGGGCACACAGACATGTAGCAAAAAAACCCACCATATATATATGAAAAGTTTGGGTCCTAGGCATAGCATTCTATCCAAGAAATAATGCAATTCCTATGAGACAGGATCACTTATGTCATTTAATAAAGAACATTTGTAGCCAATTTCTGGAAATGACTGAAGTTCAAAAGCCACAGCATTTATATAGGACAGCTTCTGCAGAGACAGAAGAGAAGCATCTTGACAACATGAGAACTACTGCTAACTCAATATCATACATTCTACCTGCTGTGGTCCATACTAAATCCAGACTAAAATCTCATCTGCTCTTTGAGAACTACTTTTCCCTCTGAGGAGAGTTACCACAAGACTTTGCTTTGTTGTTCAGTGTTAGTTAATAAGTCAGTCATAGATATTGCATTGTCTATTATGCCTCAGGCAAGCAAACAGTGTGCAACTGTCACGTTTATTGTTTAGAGGGGATGACACAGTATACAAATCATTACAGGTGGAATGGATGTATCTCTCTATCTTTCTCTGTACATGTGTGTATGTTTTTGCATGCAAGTGTGCATATTCATGTATGCATATGTAGAAGCAAAAAGAGGATGTTGTGTCTTTTTTATTGCCTCATTGTTTTTTTCAAGATATGGTTTCTTTGTGTAATCTTTGCTGTCTTGGAACTCTCTCTGTAGACTAGGCTGGCCTCAAACTCACAAAGATCTGCCTGCCTCTGCCTCCCGAGTGCTCGGATTAAAAGCGTGCACCATCACTGCCCAGCTTCCATCCTACTTTTTGAGACAGTCTCACACTGAACTTATTTCAGGTCTCAGGCCCACCATATGTCTAGAAATGAACTCAAGCTGGACTTACAGAAGGATTTCTGGAGGTTAGATAGAGGCCAGCCTTCCTCGGGAATTTGTGAAACTGGTATACCTCCCCCAAAGGAATCCCCCTCCCCTGCTGCTTATCTTCTGAATACTCCTCATTTTCCTACCCACTGCTCTCTTGCAGTATCTATCTCCCTAACTGGATGCTCTCACCAGACTCATGGCTCTCCTGGGCCAGGCTCTCTCGCTGCCTTCATCTGCTCTCTTCCAGATGCCTTGATATCTTCTCTCACCCACAATAAAAACCTTCCCCCAGAATGAGTGGTAGTGGCCCACACTTTTAGTCCCAGAGGTAGAGGTAGGCAGATTTCTGAGTTTAAAGTCAACCTGATCTATAGAGTGAGTTCCAGGACAGCCAGGGCAACACAGAAAAACCCTGTGTCAACAAACAAACAAACAAACAAACAGTCAAACAAACAAAAAAACCAAACCTACTCTCCTCCTCCTGTGCAATGATATGGGCATGTCCACAGAATCTTTAATGTACCCTAACACATATAAAAGGTACTGTGGGAGACTGAACTGAAAAGATTAAGCAAAGGTTCCCTGAGAAAGTGTTATTTAATTAGTTAAATTAATTTTATTTTTTTTCAGTGAGGATAGAATCCAGAGTATTGCCTAAGCTAGGCAAGTACATTGCCACTGAGCTATAGCTCCAGTCCTTATTTTAGGGAATTTTTTGGAGGCAAGGTTTCACTCTGTAGCCCAGGCTGGGTTGGAACTTACTACATAGCCCAGGCTGGTCTCAAATTTGCAACAATTCTCCTACTTCACCACCCACTCCTAAGTGCTGGGTTTACATGCACTCCCAGCTCCCAGCTATTTATTAATTTCTTTGGAGATACTCTCTTACTATGAAGACTATGCTGGCCTATAATTTATGATCTTTTGCTTTAGCCTTCTGAGCTGGGATTATAGATGTGTGCTACCATACCTGGTTTAAGAAAGCGATGTCTAAACTGATATCTAAAAAGGAATGATGTTAACCTGGACAAAAAAAAAGAAGAACATGTTCTTGTATTGCGTATTTCCCTAGAACCTAACAGCTCTCAACCGAAGTAGGCATGATGACATTGCTTGCTTTACTACATGCTCTGGAATGTCAGAGGCTCATAAATGTGACTATAGAACCCCAAGTCCCTAGTACAGAGCGCAAAGACATACTTCCTGATCAACGGCATAATATTTGAGAAGGAAATTCAAGCAAATAGTATCTGTCAGAGAGTAAGTATAGTCTCTCAGGGGTAGCAATTCTGTTTAGAGGCACGTGTACAGGAACTGAAGAACAAAGATATACATACCTGTCATAAATCTTGGCAATCCTCAGTTCTCCTCTTCCCTTTCGCAAGCTGATTCTTGTTGTTGAAGCGTGAGCCAGAATGTGTCCACCAATGGGTTTTTTGGGATCAGCCTGAAAGCTGAATCAATAAAGCACTCCTTCAGGTTTCATTTGGATAGACAGTGGTGCTTGGCAAGGAAGAGGCTGCCTCTGTGACTGGGATGGCAAGATGGTGTGGGAATGCATTCTCTCTCTCTCTCTCTCTCTCTCTCTCTCTCTCTCTCTCTCTCTCTCCATGTGTGCACGTGCATGTGTGTGTATGTGTGTGTGTGTGTACAGATTTCAGAAGTCAAACTCAGGTGTGCCTTAGGCTCTATCTACCTTGTGTTTGAGACAGGCTGTCACTAGAACCTGGTGGGCTTACTGCTTAGGCTAGCCTGGATGGCCTATGAGCCTGAGACTGGCCTGTCCCCACCTCCCAGCACGGAGATTACAGACTTTTGCCACTATGACTGGCTTTGTATGTGGGTATTGGAGATTAAACTTGGGACCTCACACTTTGATAGCAAATACTTTACAATTGACCTCTCTCCCTAGCTCCCAGATCTGTAATCTAAAACAAACAAGAGAGGCTTATATGCAAACTGTGGAGAGCAGCATTTAAAGATACTATACCATTGCCATCTAGTTTAGGCTTCTGAGAGTCCCTGATAAGCAGTTCCTCTTTTGTTGTTTTTATTTTTGGTTTTTGAGACTAGGTTTTGTAGCTCAGATTAGCTAGAAGCTAATTCATAATCCTCTTGCCTTAGTCGCTTGACAACTGCTGTGTACTACCATATCAGCATATAATTCATGTTCTGTTTGAATTTTTAAAAGTAAATTACTATTGAAGGCTGGGTTAGAACATTTGCCTACAATGTTTAAGGCCCTGGACTCAATCACTAGCGCACGCACACACACACACACACACACACACACACACAAAACAATAAATGAACATTTTAAAAGTACAAGCAAGGGCTAGGGATAAAGGTAGAGTGCTTGCCTACTTTTCCCAAGATCCTAGGCTCAATTCCCAGCACCACCGAGAGAGAAAGAGAGGGGAGGGGAATAAACATTCATTATCTTAGCATATCAGTTGAGGTTAAAAATTGTCCTTAAAAACTACAAATACTGGATTTATTTACTCATTAACTCATTTATCAGGAATATTTACTAATGGCATATGTGCCAAGAACTATTTTAGTCTAATGACTAAGAATTGTCTAAGCTAGGCAGATGGAAAGCTGAGCAGAAGTACTGAAAGTTCAAGGCAAGCCTGGGCTATATGGTGAAACTTTGTCTCTAAATAGGTAAATAAATAAACTGATGAATACTCTAGACTTTCTCCTCGAGGCTCAGTAATTAAAAGCAATTGTGAACTCCTCCCTTCCCTCCTCGTCTGTAGTGCTGTGATAGAACCCAGGGCCTCACATATACTAGAAAAATGTTTTACTACTAAGTTATATCCTTAATCCAGAGAGCCTTTCTAATCTTTTAAAATTATTTTCTGTGTATGAGAGCTTTGCCTTCATGTGTATCTGTGCACCACATGTGCTGGTTCTTGGGGAGGTGCTGAGCCTCCATGCAGGAATTGAACCCAGTTACTTTGCAACAACAGCAAGTGCTCTTAATGACTGAGCCAACTCTCCATCCCCCAGAAAGCCTCTTTCTTGTTCATTGTATGGTGGAGTCCTTCCATGTTACACATGTTGTGAAGGCGCAGTGAGAACAATACTGGAAATACTTTTACCGTTGTTGCCCATAGTTTATTCTCTAAATATGGATATTTGAGGAATACAGTCATACACGCTGGTTGCAGTGGTGTGTGCCTGTAATCCTAACACTGGGGAGGTGGGAGCTTCCTCAGGTTTGCTGGTCAACAGTCTAACTGAATTGGTAAGCTCCAGGTGCAGTGAGAGACCCTGTCCCAAAATTAAGGAGGGAAGTAGCTGAAGAAGACATCTGATGTCAATTTCTAGCCTGCACACACACGTGCACACATATGTGCATACACATGCATGCACACTTCCTCATTCACATGAATATTTGTATACACACAAGCAGTAAGCTCTTAACTATGCGTAGTCATTGTTATTCAAAAATTGTAACAGCAAAGAAGTTACAAATACTATTGATATTCACCTTGAGAGATGCTTGAGGACTAACATTCCCAATGCCAAAAAGTAAATATTTCTTCTTATAAGAGAAAGGCGGTTGGGGATGAGCAGTGGTGGCATCTAGCACTTGGGAGGCAAAGGCAGGATATCTGTGAATTTAAGGTCAGTCTTGTCTATAGAGCGAGTTCCAGGACAGCCAAGGCTACACAGAAAAACCCCGTTTCAAAGAAACAACAACAACAAAAACCAAAACCAAAATGAAACAGTGTTCAGGGTTTGGTGTAATGAGGATGTGGCTGACTGGTGTAAGATTAAACATGTAGTCTATAGGTTGGTAAGAAAGAAGCTCTCTAAAGATAAAACTGCTATGATTGACTACACAGTTCTGAGGATAGACCAGAGTTGCATACCCGGAACTGTATAATCTAATTATTTATCATGTTTGTGATTGCCACAGGCAGATGTGAGCTACCTAATGTGTGTGCCACAAACAGAACTCCAGTCCCTTAGAAGAGCAGAAAGTGCTTCTAACTGATGAGCCATCTTTCCAACCCTACAAGAACAGCTCTTGGTGAAACTGTATGAAGAAAGCAGTAGCCAGATAGTTGAGGCTATCAACAGTCAAGAAGTCAGAGGCTGGATGATCTATCAGGATGTAGAAGCCACAGTATAGGGAAGCAAAAAAGACATCTCAGTTGGATGAGCCAGCTCTATAGTGTTTATAGGTCATATGGCCTGTGGGTGGTTCTTCATGGTTTCACAGGAACTCTATCCTGTACAGACATGGTTTAGACAGGCTGATAGCATTCTAATCTGAACTGTGAGATCTGAGTCTGCAACAATGATTTATGCTTCTTTTTAGAATATATTTATTTGTGTGTGTCTGTGTTTGTACATACATATTTGTATGTGTGTGTGCGCGTGCCTGTGAATGTGCAGAGGCCAGAAGATGGTACTCTCTATCACTCTCCGCATATTTCTTTGAGACACTATCTCTCCCTAAACATTTTACTTGGTTAGGAAGGAAGCCAGCAAGCCCAGTAAATTTCTTGCCTCCTCCCCCTTATTGCTGAGGCTACAGGTCTACCTGGGATATCTGGCTTATCACATGGGTGCTGGGATCTGAACTCTAGTTCTTACAGTTGTATGACACACACTCTTAACCACTACACCATCTCTCCAGCCTCTGATTTATTTATATTCTGCCAGTAGTACTATTACTCACTAATTTATTTATTTGTTTGTTTGGTTGTTTTTTTTGAGACAGGGTTTCTTTGTGTACCCCTGGGTATCCTGGAAAACACACACACACACACACACACACACACACACACACACACACAAAGCACAAGTGACTTTGGAGGCTCTGGAATAGCAGAAAGTGTTCATACCCACTGAGCCATTTCTCTAACCCACCTTTTCTATTTTTAAGTCGAATGCTTAAGGTATTTGTTGTAGTAATGGAAACCTAACATAACTACTTACAAACTTAACTAGAGTTATACTAAGTTTTTCCTCCAACATCCAAATTTCTTTTTTCTTTTTGTTGTTGCTCAAGTAAATCCTCTTCTACCTCAATGCCTTTGCACATTATTTTACGTCTGAAGTGAAAGGCCCTTTCCCTACCAGGTTTACTCAGGCACTCCACTCATCCCTCAGGTGCCTCCTTCTAGGAACCTGAAGCTCCGTGGTCTCCTGCCATGGCGTGTATTTTTCTATTAAAGCATCCCTTTGCCAGGGGTAGACTGCTTACCTATCATGTGCATCCCTAGCGTCACACAGGGAAAGAGAAAGCATCCTTCACTGTTAATCTAGATAATCCCCATGCATCTACTCTCTAGATAAGTGTATGCCACATGAAGGTCTATCATGAACACTGCAAAAAACACAGAGAAGATAATTTGGCTCTCCCTGGTCGAGGACTTTCTGGACACATTCTTGTAACATCTCTTTAAAGAAACTACACCAAAGAACGTTTGGAAGAATTTTGAATAGAAAGGCAAATATAAAGCTGGGCATGGTGGCATGCACCTTTAACTCCCTCACTCTAGAGGCAGAGGCAGGTGGATCTCTGAGAATTAAAAGCCAGCCTGCTCTACATAGGGAGGTCCAGGATGGCTGGGGCTACATAGTGAGACCCTATCTCAAGATAAAATAAAATAAATAAAAATTAAAAATAAAGACAAATATTTAAAAAGACAGTTTTTCCAGCTATCCTAGTTGAAGTAAATTCTCTGCTGGCTGTTCTGGAAACCTGTCCACAAGAGGCACAGTGGAGCTTCTAGATAAATGGCCAAGATCTTTTTCTTAACAAATTCCTGTCCCTAATGTGACTCTCTACACACCATAGGGAAGATCTTCTACTGCCTGTCCTGGATGGCTTCAGGTGAAGAGTCTGAGCATTAACAATGTCACCTCCGCCGGGTGGTGGTGGCGCATGCCTTTAATCTCAGCACTTGGGAGGCAGAGGCAGGCGGATTTCTGAGTTCGAGGCCAGCCTGGTCTACAGAGTGAGTTCCAGGACAGCCAGGGCTACGCAGAGAAACCCTGTCTCGAAAAACCAAAAAAAAAAAAAAAAAAAAGAAAAAGAAAGAAAAAACAAATGTCACCTCCAAAGGCAGATGAGCTATATGAGGAAATTACTACAGGCTATTCAAAGGGGCTGCAAACTACAAAATGTTATCAAAATGACTCAAACTTTTGAGATCATATTTAATCAAAATAGACTATGAAATATCAACAGCCTTAGCTTTGACAGAATTAATTCAAATTTTGTTTGCTCTGTCAACAATTCTGTGCATAACTGTATATGGAAGTTTTAGCCCTTAATATTTATTATATAGGTCACCAATACTTGATAATATAATAAAAGATACAAAATCCCATCCAGCAAAATGAACATATGTACACATACATAAAATTTTTATGTAAGTTTAGGAGTGCCATTGAACCAAGATTTACCGAGTCCTCACTATGAAAG